AAATTCTGGAAAACCCGGCTCTACAGTTCACCGATCTATGGCGCTGACGTCAACGGCTCCTTATTTGATGCAAACACTAAGCAGTGGAACCTCAGACACCTGGGTACCATTCAGGACCTGCTGGAGCAGGAGTGTGGGGTGGTCATTGAAGGCGTCAACACACCCTACCTGTACTTCGGCATGTGGAAGACCACATTCGCATGGCATACAGAGGACATGGACTTGTACAGTATCAACTATGTGCACTTCGGGGAGCCCAAAACGTGGTACGCGGTGCCCCCAGAGCATGGCTGGCGCCTGGAACGCCTGGCTAAGGAGCTCTTCCCAGCCAGTGCCCACAGCTGCAGGGCCTTCCTGCGGCACAAGGTGGCCCTCATGTCACCCACTGTCCTCAGGAACAACAGGATCCCCTTCAGTCGGGTCACGCAGGAGGCTGGCGAGTTCATAGTCACATTTCCCTACGGCTACCACGCTGGCTTCAACCACGGCTTCAACTGCGCAGAGGCCATCAACTTCGCCATGCCGCGCTGGATCAATTATGGCAAAGCGGCCTCTCAGTGCAGCTGCGGGGAGGCCAGGGTCAGCTTTTCCATGGATGTCTTTGTGCGCACCCTGCAGCCCGAGCGCTATGAGCTCTGGAAGCACGGGCAGGACCGGGCGGCGGTGAACCACGTGGCACCCGCGGCCGCGGGCAGCCAGGAGCCGGGCACCTGGAAGGAGTTGTGGGCGACCGGGAGAGCCACGCTGGGCCTCCGGGACCTGCCGCCCCGCCGCTCACTGAGCCCTGCCAGGCAGGTGGCCGCGGGGCGAGGGGGCCACCGCCGCGCCCCTAGGCTGCCCGCGTCTCGGCGCCACGTGTGGGCCTCTGATCCTCCCTCTGCAGCTCAGGGCAGGGATGCCACTTGTTGGCCCCCGGAGCACAGCTCAGCCCTGCTGACAACCTCGGGCCCATCCGACCTGGGTCTCCACCCAACTGGCAGTCGGGGTCCTGGCCGTCGTCCTCAGGAGCAGGGGACTCAGGAGCTGACTGACCAGGTCCCAGCCAAGAAGCGCCTCTTGCTGAGCACAGCATGCGCAGCTCAGGATCCCGGTGCTCAGGCCCTGTCTTTGGACGGACCCTCACTGGACAACGCTGCACCGCCGAGCCCTGTGTCCCCGCATTCTGCTAAGGCTTCCGGGTGCTGCTGTGTCCCTGCACCCTGAGCCCAGGGGATGTTTTGGTAGCCTGCTACTCTGACGCGTGGAGGCTCCCTAAGACTGGGCACGTGTACACCTCAGAACCTTCACAATGTGCGGTGCTGCCATGGGACCTCCTTAGTCCACGTTATTTATGACATACAGCTATTCTTCCTCCCGGACACCATTACCTCTTTCGACACTGATTTCTCTGTTGCCAATGAGGTTTCATCCACTGGATGCTTGTCTCTGCAAATGAGGCCCCACAGACATTGCCAGAGTCTGATCTGCACCTAAACCTCCATTCTCTCGGCCAGCTCTGGGTGCTGATGCGATTTGGATGAATCCTGGACTTTGGTTCCCCTCTGGTCTCTTCCCTTCCCTCTTTCCCTCTCCTCCCCACTTTTTTAGAAGACTAGGCCCTTTTGACCAGTTTGGTCTGTAGAGGCTCAGAAAATAATGTTTCTGAGTCATTGGTGCCTTTAAAATGTATCACCAGTATTTTTTTCAAAAATACATTAAAGGTAACCAAAATGTTAAAATCTGATTTTATTTCTAATATTGTCCATTCAGCCAATTGAAGAATGAAGGTTATTCTTTTCTGCACTCTTTTTAGTAGTTATATCAAAACATTTCAAACAAAACTTATTTTATGGGATGGTTATATTGTGTGATGTTGGTGAATGATTTGGGGTGATGCTTGTTGGGTTCTGGCAGGCTGGCTGGGAGGGGGATTTGTTTTGTCAGCCATATCTAAGGATGACTTGGTGGAAACCACCTGGGAGACTGTACATGGCTGGGCAGTGCAGCCCAAGCTGCCGGTAGAGATGAGCAAGCACAGACTACAAGTGCCATTGTCTTTGCTCTGAGTCTCCACTTCCTTTTCAACACTAAATATTTCACATGGTTAATTCATTGATTCATCCCAATAAGCAAGTTCACTAATAAATGAATATGACAACAACAATTGGCAACATGTACTGTGAAGAAGTAAAGGGGATGGGACGATAGAGCAGAATGGGCATGGCTGGCCTGTAGGCGGCCCGGGAAAGCATCCTGGAGCAGGAGGCCTTTCAGAGACCCAGTTGGCGAGAAGGAAGGTCCATAGCTGACTCTCACTTAAAGGAAACAGCAAGTATAATAGACCTAATGTGGGACTTGATGGTTTTGTTTCCTTGGGAATAGAAAGGAAGCTCACTTGTGTCTGGGGCAGAGGAAGAGAGAGGGAGGTGGGGTCTGAGGCATACAGGCACTGTGGTTCATGTGAAATATTTGAATTTTTTCAACTTGAAATGAGAAGGCATTGAAAACTTAGAAAAGCACTTGACATGAAGTGATTTACACATTTAAACAATCATCTTACTTCTGTGGACAAGGTGGGGGCAGGAGTAAAAGAACATCTTAAGGAATATAAGTGAGAGTTACTTAGACTTAAGGATTAGTATTGAAATGCACTGAAGTGGACAGCTCAGAATCAACTTTGGATATGAAAATGATAGTTTGGATACAGAAGGAAACATTTCAGAGAAGGAAACCATCTCTCCTCTCCAGCTCTCCCCCACAGATTTTCAGCAAGGCTTTGGAATTAGAATCACCATGTAAAACTGAAGGCAGATATAGTGGGAAAAAAAAGTGTGTGTTTGAAGTTCAGATTGAGGAGCCGCAAAAACCCATGTCTCTCTTCCTATCTGGGCAATTTTGTCTCTCCTAATAAAACAGGGCCCAGGACTGTATTCTGTGGACAGGGGAGGCCGAGGGCCTGGACTCCAGGCATAGTGGGGGATGGGAGTGAGAGGCCTGCCAGCGGGGAGTAAGCCAGACCCTGAGATGGCAGAGCCACAGTGGGGGCTGCCTGGAGTCACTTGGGAGGGAGAAGCCCTAGAGGGCAGCTGGATGTTCAGTGATCTTACAGGAGCAAGGAAGTTTCTTTATGTGGCAGGTAAATGAGAAATTGAGGTTTTTTTGGTCCTTCAATTGAAGTCAATTGTGGAAACAGCAATGCAGAGAAATAAAGAAATAAGGGAATTCTGAAAAGTCTCTCTGGAGACAATAGCCTGCTTCAAATTCCTATTTAAAATTTTAAAAACTGAAATTCTCCTTGTTACATAGTTCAGGATTATCACAATCTCTTCCCTAGCAGATAGATGCCCTGGGAAGCATAAGATTAAAAAACTGGGGGTTTTGTAGGACAAGAAAACACAAATTTCCAGGAAACATTACTCTCATTGCACTCCTTGTGTTTTCATTCAGTTACTTTCATACATTAAAAATATACAATTTTGCTGTACAGATAAACTCATTTCTAATTGATCTTGAAAGGACTGGGAGCTGGAGGTGGTGGTAGAGCAGCTTCTTCAAGCACCTCTGTTTCAAGGCCTATCTTACTTCATGTCAACACCCTCAATTTGGACACTCACTTTGGACTGCTCTTCTCATTAAAAAATCCCATATCCAGCTGTTTCTTCATGTCTGATGAGTTTTTCCTATACTTAATCTTGGAAAAGCAAAGGACGTTCATAATGAAAATTATATAAAGGTTGAATGACCTTTGTTCTTGCTGCCATAATCTTCCAGGCCTCTTTCCACTTCTGAGAAATAATGATCAAGTGTTCAGTGCATACTTTCTTCAAGTGTATATGGGAAAGTCTATACAGCCAAAAGTAATATGTCATGTGTTGTTTCAGTAACTTATTCCCCACCATCATCTTTTTAAAAAGTCAATATTGCATTTACAGGATCTAAAGACATTGCTGTATATAGATCCTAGTCAGTCCAACAAAGTAGATCTGGTGTAATTTTTTATTTTATTCATTCCCCTAATGATGGACAATAGGATTTCTACCAAATCTCTTGTTCATTCAAACAATACTGAACAGCATTGTACATAGAAATAGAATTACTGGATTGTATTTTTGTTCATTTTCAACTTTCCTAGAAATAGCCAGATTAGCCTCCAATTTCTGTCTCCATTGCAGTGTGCAAGGGTTCTGATTTCTTCACATCTTGAGCCATTTTTTTGTATTGTCAGACCTTTTTATTTTCCCTAATCGAAATAGGTAAAAAATAGTATCTCATTACATTTCCCTGATTACTAGTGACCTGAACATCTTTTCATAATTAGAAGCCATTTGAATTTCCTCTTTTTTGAATTATCTATTCTAAGGCTTTCCCCACTTTTGGGGGTTGACTTCTTTTTTAGTCATCACTGTAGGATTCACAATACTAATTCATTGTCTATTTTATGTATGATAAAAACTTCTAGACTGTAATTTTGTTTATTTTTTATGGTGTGTTAGTATTTTGTAGAGAAACAGAAACAATAGTATCTACACAGATATAAGAGCTTTAATTGCATGAATTGGTTCAGGTGGTTATGGAGGTTGAGAAATCCCATAATCTGCCAGATTGGCTATCTGCAAGTGAGGACCAGGAATATGGTGGTGTATTTCCATCTAAGTCAAAAGGTCTGAGAAATACGGGTCAATAGTATAAGACCACATCTGGGTCTAAAAGCCAGGGAGGCAGAAGCACTTATGTCAGATGTCCCAGGAGAGGCAAAAATGGATGTGTCAGCTTAGGCAGGGAGAATGGGTTTGCACTACCTCCAACCTTTGTTGTATTCAGGCTCCCAGCCTGGATGATCCCACCTGTATTGGTGAAGGTGATGTTTACTCAGTCTACTGATGCAAATGCTAGTCTCTTCCTGAGACGCCCACAGAGACACACCCAGAAATAATGCTTTACCAGCTATCTGGGCATCCTTGAGCTCAGTCAAGTCAAGATGTAAAACTAACCATCACGGTCACTACACTGGAGCCAGGTAAATATATCAGACATTTCCATCATGGCGCCCATGGCTCTTTAAAATATTTTTTCCACTCGAGTTTATGAAGACATTCTTCAATATTTTCTCTAGTTGTCTTAAAGTTCTGGTGTGTTCTGCAGATTTATTTATGTAAGTGGTGTGAAGCAGAGCTCTTTTTCTTTCCAAAAAAAGTACCAATACCAATAGTACATACTGCATAGTCCACCTCTCCTCACCGGTTTGGAATGCCACCTCCCTTCCATAAGGATTTCCGCACCCACGTGTGTCTATGTCTGGCCTCTCTATTCTGTACACAGATGTGTTTGTCCATTGCAGCTCAAATATTGCAGCTTGATAGGGGAAAAGTCACCCCTCTTTGTTCCTTTAAGGAATCATCTTGGGGATTCTTATTTTAATATCTGACTCCACCACTTACTAGATGTGTCACCTTAAAAAAGTTGCTTAATGTCGCATTGAATCAGTTTCCTCATTTGAGAAACAGGATTAATAGGATTTCCTTTATCAGGTCATTATGAGGATTAAATGAATTATTCCATGAAGAGTACACAACAGTGTCTCGTGTAGGCACCATATGTGTTAGCTGGTTTAATAATACATGCACTATCAGGGGTAAAAAGGGACTGCTGTTCATGAAAAGATACGAAAGAGAGAGTGAAAAGCCTAGTCAAGGAGTGGGAGCACACACTGTATTACTTATATTCAACAGAGAGCTAATATCCAGAACATATATAAAGAACTCCTACAAAGGGAGCAAACAGGAGACCCAGGAGAAAAATGGACAAAACAGCCCGAGCGCTATGAGATTGGGAAGCGCGGGCAGGACCGGGAGGCAGTGAACCACGGGGCGCCTATGGCGCCGGACAGCCGGGAGCCAGACGCCTGGAGAGAGGTCTGCCCTGAATCTCCAACCACCTGGCAAACATGGGCGCAGTCATAGTCCTCGGGAGCAGGAGGCGCAGGAGGCTGTCTTTGCAGGCCAAGAGGAGCCTCCCCGTGGGCACAGCACGCACAGCTCCAGACTTGGAGTCCGAGGTCCAGCCCGGGACAGTGCTGGTTCCCAGAGCCCTGGAACCTGACGGCTTGCTGAGTGTGAGTGCTGCGGGCCCTTGGACAGCCTCTGGACTTTCCTTTCTCCTGTCCCTCCCACTTCCTCCCGGTTGCCTCCTGTGTGTCCCACTTGATGCTATTAATAATCAATCTGGGCCAAAGTCAAGTTTGCAAAAATGCTATTATGTTTCTTTCTTACAGAGCTGTCCAAAACACATTGCTGAACTAATCCCTGGC